TTTTTTTTTTTTTTTTTCCCTTTTACGAATTCATTTACCATCTTTTTTTCTCTTTGTGTAGCTTTTATGCTCAAATCTTTTTATTAGAAGTTTGGAGGAATTTCCCTTTCCTATGTGGAGTGTGTTGTGCCCTGTGAGATACATAGATTTGACCAAAGATTTGCAGTTTGGTTGTTAGCTCTCAATTTGCAGAATGAGTAATTGTCAGATGAGTAATTCTTTGAGTTGTTGCTCTGTACTCAAGCACAGATTTATTTGGCAAAGCTCTCCAGTGGTGCTTAAAAATATTTTGAGGATTCTTTGGCAAAGATGTCTGATAAACACAGTAAAGATTATAGTATTGGCTGTTTTCATGAATACTCACATTAGTAGGTAGGTGGAAATTTAAGTTTATCTTTAATATGTGTAATTTGTAGGAAACATAGGATATTATTGTCACCTTGGTGTTAGACTTCTACATCACGAACCCCTCTCAGATGAAACCTTGGTTTTTGTAGGCAGGATTATTGTGGTTATGATCTGGAGATCTATTTTATTATTTATTATTATCAAAGTTGGTCACGAATCCTTAACATTTCTTGAACCTAAAACATTTTTTGCATAAATAGATATAAATTAAGTATGCATTTTTTAAAGTTTTTATTTAAAAAAATGTTTTTAATGTTTATTTATTTTTTAGAGAGATAATGTGAATGGGGGAGGGGCAGAGAGAGAGGGAGACACAGAATCTGAAGCAGGCTCCAGGCTCTGAGCTGTCAGCGCAGAGTCCAATTAGGGGCTCGAAACTCACAAACCATGAGGTTACGACCGGAACCAAAGTTGGATGCTCAAATGACTGAGCCACCCAGGTGCCCCAAGTTTTTATTTTAATTGCAGTTAACAGTGTAATTTTTGGTTATTGAATTTATTTCTGTTCCTTTTTTACTTCAGTAATTATCCTTTAAATGTTGAAATTTACTTGAACATAGTTGATGACAGAAAGATCTTGAGGAAAACATAGATATGCATACTTAATCTCGTCCCTTGCATATTTGAGTACAGCTTATTGCAGAATAATGAAACAGTTTGCAAAATTATATTTGAAGTAATAAATCCACATTCATTAAAAGCTTAGCTATCTTTCCTACACAGGTATCTTTTCAAAAGAGTAAGAGTCATTCTTAGCAGTCTTTTTTTTGTTCTTTTCCATAATGACTCTTGATTCCAAGACTTTCTGAATCTTTCTGACTGTAATTATAAAACAAGAAAGTCTTTCCACTCTCCTTTTTGAATTATGACTTCTGTTGGGGTGCAGGTATTTCTACTCTAGTTTTAACTTGGCTGCTGTTGGAAGAAAGTATTACCTTATATTCAGTAAGCTGTTTTGGATTTTGTTATGTGGATGATTTAATTGTCTTGGTAGAGGTAAGTGCCAGTGGATCTTGTCTTAGAATTCCTACTTGTTGAACAGTGGTCAAGTCACTTAATGTCTGTACATGAACTTCGGCTTCACCTTTCTAAAATGGTTAAAATAGTATCCTACCTCACATAAGGGGTTAGTTATAATTATATGAGAGATGTGTGAAAGCCCAGTATAATGTGGTAAATGTTTGGTGGTGATACATGATTGTTGATTGCAACAACATTTTTTCTAAGTTCTATTGGTATGTGTGCTTATGTGTGGAGTGCCTATGACCAGAGATGTATAAGATTGTATGTGTAGGTGAACATAGATGTACATCAGTGTGCCTTGGGAAGTATATATTCCTGCTCATATTGTTGACATGTTAATAAGTTCTTTTGATTTTGCCCAAATCAAATTTTCATATAATTATAACAATAAGGAAAGTGAGTTTTGTAAACTCAGAACTACCCTATGCCCTGAATTATAATGGCTAAATATATTGAGAACTGTCATGTTGTAGAGATTCATTATTTTAGTTTTCACCCTTTCCTTATAATCATGTTATTATCATGTGACTTGAAAAATGAAACTCTGACCTTTCTTTTAAGGAGAAATTCCTTATTTTGACTTTCAGGAGTTACCACCATCAAGCCCCAACCTTCTTGATATATAAATCCTAACTTTAATCAGGCTTCTTTATTTTTTTTAGTATTTCTTTTTTTTAATGTTTATTTACTCAGAGAGAGAGAGCGAGTGAGCAGGGGAGGTGCAGAGAGAGACAGAATTCCACTCAGGCCCCACACTGTCAGTGAAGAGCCCAATGCAGGGCTTGAACCCATGAACTGTGAGATTATGACCTGACCTGAATGAAACCAAGAGTCGGACGCTCAACCAATTGAGCTGCTCAGGCGCCCCTTTACTTTTTTAATTGCTTCTTTGAACCTATCTAATGTCTAACTTGAAGACCTAGCTCAAGTCAGCTGTGGTATTGTGAAGAGGGCAGTGAGGTAGAGATGCTTTATTTTGCCTCTCAATCCCCCGCTGGATTTGTAAGAGTATGTTCAAGGTTGAGATCTTAGGTCTTATGTATCTTATATTTAGTCCTTTCCTGTGAAGCCTTACCTGCCATTCCAACGACTTTCATTTGCATTTCTGTACTATTTATTATCTGTCCCATTCCTTTCCACACATACCTGCTCTACAATTGAAATGTGTATGTCTGTGCTCCTTTTCCTAATACCAGGTGTGAGCTGCTTTAGTGTAGGTTCTGTGTGTTCTGTTGCTGGATGCTTTGCCAGCAGCTGGTTTAGTACTGCACACACAGACCCTTCAGCACCATTTTTTGATTGAAGGAGGTCATATATTTTATGATGCATTTCAGAAACTTTTGTATTATAGGTAGCAACGATTGCAGAGACAGATGAGTCTGCAGATTCAGAAGGTGTAATTGATTCTCATAAACGTAGAGAAATCCTTTCACGAAGACCCTCTTATAGGTAAGTCTCCTACTGTAATGATACTTAAAACAAATTTTTTTTTAATGTTTATTTATTTTAGAGAGAGAGTGCAAGCAGGGGAGGGGCGGAGAGAGAGGGAGACATAGAATCAAAGCAGGCTCCAGGCTCTGAGCTGTCAGCACAGAGTCCGATGCAGGGCTCAAACCCACAAACTGCGAGATCATGGCCTGAACTGAAGTCGGACGTTCAACCGACTGAGCCACTCAGGCGCCCCTGTAATGATACTTTTTCCAAAAAAGGAGAATAATTTTATATCAAAGCAGTTAGTCCATTATAGCTTTTTTGTTTTAAATTTCATTCAAATATCTTAATTATTTCTGTTGTTTAATTATGTTTTAGAAAAATACTGAATGAACTTTCCTCTGATGTGCCTGGTGTTCCCAAGATTGAAGAAGAAAAATCAGAGGAAGAAGGAACGCCACCTAACATCGCTACCATGGCAGTACCGACTAGCATATATCAGACTAGCACGGGGCAATACAGTATGTATGCTGCATTCGATATGGTACAGTGCTAGCTTTAAGTCTTCTCTAGTTACATTGAAGCAACTTGGGTTCAGCATTAAACTGTTCCATTTTAAAATGCATCATAATATCCAAACTATGTATCATAGAATGAAAAGTAAATGTTAAAGAAGTAAGAGATTTGTACTGACAGCTGTCGTATACTTTTGAAAAGTCAAAATTTTTTGACTGAATATAGAAGAAAACTTTTGGGTGAAAATAAAGGGAGGGTTTGCCTATTTATATGTTTATATTCATGTCTAGTAAAAGTTTAAAACTTACCTGTTTTTTGTTGTCTTTATAAGATGCATGTGAACATAAGCTATAAATGTCTGTATTTCATTCTTGTTGGCTTTTGTTACCAACAATTACATATTATGCTTCCTAATCTAAAAGAGGTACATAATGTTTTCTAAATTATGTTTTAAATGTAATTATGTTTTCACTACTCTTTGTTAATTTGTGCTGCAGCTTTTTCTAGAAGAGAATGGAAAAATGATTTATTTTTAAAAACTGCAGCCATTGGACAGATCATTTTATTTGAAATTTTAAACATCAAAAGCTGTAAATAAACAGATACATTCACATTTAGTCTTGTGCATTTTAATGGGCTGTTAATTCTGTGCTTTTTGCTCTAATTAAAGCACTAATTTTTTCCCAAATCAAGTACATTTGATATACATAAAAATGCTTTAGTAAAAAAACAAGAGCTAGGAAGAAAAGAAAAAAGGGGGAAGAAAAGCCAGAAAAAGGACAGAAAAAAAAACCCCATCTTTAAAAAAGCTACTTAGGTAATGGAATATGTGTGGTAATAAGTACTATGTTGGTTTAATATGATGGTAAGATTTTACATATGTCTTCTGTTTTCCCTTTAAAAAAAAGTAATACCTAGAAAAATTCTCAAATCTTAAGATGTGGCTGTTAAACTATAATCCTTAATATGTGAACAGATCTTATGTAGTCACTAGTTTTTTTAGAGGTTTTTCTTTTGGTGGTGGCAGATTTGCAATATTAAACTAAATCTCCCTTGGTAATTGTGGTTCTTCAGGTAGCTCGTACCATGATACCTAGCAGAATTGGGGTATAATTTGTCCACAGCCTCTATAGGGTGCTGAGTGGACATGTCCAAAGTCAATGTTAGGAAAAGGAAACTCCCCACTGTCTCTGTAAAGAGTTACACCTTGAGGTTTTAACTGTTATTTTTCTTGTATTACTTCTCTGATTTAAATGCCTTTTTGCTGGCCCAGTGGGAATATATGGTGGGAGTTTTAGAACTGTAAGTCAGAATTTGCCAACTGGTATGCCTCTGCAGTGTAGCACACAGGTACGGGAGTGTGAGCGCCTCATGCCTCCATCCCCAAGCGTGGCCCACCAGGGCTTGGAGCTGCTGGAGACTCCTGGCTATTCAGATCTGGCCTTGAGCAGTGGGCTGTGTACATACTATCAGTTTCTATTTGTGATGTGGTAGGAAAAAGGTTGGAAATTACTGATAAAATAATGCTAAGACATCTTAAAGTTTGGGGAATGATCTAAGATGCTGTCACCTTAAATATTTCCTGGCATTTCCCGGTGCTGCTTCAGAGTTTATAGAAGTGGTGATCTCTTTACAAGTGATACAGAGGGGTGTGCTGTAGTTTATTTTGCCTAGTTTATTAGCTGAAAATCTGAAATTGTGAAAACATTGGGTTGAGAGAATTTTGAGGCTACAGATGATGTGCAGGAGGCACTGGGTCCTGCCATTCACTAACTGGATCAGAGAGAGAAGCTTTATTTTCCCATCTCAGGGTCTTTGAATTGGGAATAATACAAAATTGCCAAACTCTGGGCAAAAGGAAATAACAGGTAAAAGTGGGAGAAAGCCAGACATGCTACTTTTGACACAAAACAGAGCTGTAAGGTAGCTATGGCAGTGTCTCCTACATGGTCATTAAACTTTTCCCTCCAGCTAACAACAGAGCCTTTATTTCTTGTGCTCTGAGTGTGTGTGCCTGCAGCAGGGGCTTTGTGTGAAACGTCAGTGTGGGTGTGGGGTGGTCAAGTCAGGAGAATAGCAAGTCAAAAGATTAGAAGTCGGACGTTTATCTGTTTGCCACGTTACAAGTCATGGACTGTCTTTTATTGAGGTTTCTTTAATTTGGACCCATACACTAGATCCTGGTAGTTATTTTAACTAAAGGCTGTGGTTGTTCTGTATGTGCTGTCTGCAGGTAAAAATTACCAGTTTTATTGGTTCATGAAAAGTGACACTAACTTTGTTAAAAATGCATCTGTTAGACACTTAGCGACACTTGCTTAGGTTTATAATTGTTTCTTCTGAAAGGTGAATAACATTTAAAGTTTTTAGAAGACATTTACTTTAATTGGAGGGTAAATGTATATTTACATATAGACAAGATCCATTTTCATTAATCGTATTTCTTAGTAGGAATAACTTAACAGATATTAATGCTTTCATGTTGTTCCTGGATATCTAGAAATAGAAACAATTACTGGTTTTTAGACTGGAGGAGTTTATTTTACTAGAATTTTTGGAGATTCTTCTGGGTATCTGTTTTCGAGACCCTTTTATAAGGTTTTACTGTAAAATGTGTTTTTTTTAGGTTTAATTCTTTCTTCAACTTTTATTCGTGGATGACTTTCCCCCAAACTTTGTTTATTTTTTCAAAGATTATCATTTTTTTTAATGCTTATTTATTTTGAGAGAGAGAGAGAGAGAGCAGGCACATGAGCAGGGGAGAGGCAGAGAGAAAGAGAGAGAAAAAGAGAAAATCTTAAGCAGGCTCCATACCCAGTGTGGGGCCCGACATGGGGCTTTATCCCACGACCCTGGGATCATGACCTAAACTGAAATCAAGAGTTGGTTGCTTAACCAACTGAACCACCCAGGCTCCCTCAAAGATTATTATTTTAGATTGCTTATTTTTAATTTGGTATAATGAGGTAGTTGGGGTTAAAAACAAAAAGAAATGAACTAAAGGACTTTGTGTGTCAAAGTTGAAGAAATAAAATATAAATGAGTGTACTCAGGCTTTCCCATATATAATCAGTTATATTTTTAATAATTGAAAGTTAGCTATATGACAGAAGTAGGCCTTACTGTTTCAACTTATTTTTTTAATCACAGAAACTAAGAAGTGAAAGTTAGAATAGGCTACTCCCAGGGAGTAGTAAAAATAACTAAATAGGCAGGGATTCATTATTGCAACACCACGTAAAAGAGCTACACTTGCAAAATCTTTACTGGAAGTACAGATCTTAGTGATAGGTTTGTTGTATGCCAATTAAGTCATTCTGGCCAAAGAAAATCTTGTATGTCTCAAAAGAATATTTCTGAAAGATAGCAGTTCAGATAATCTCAGAATCCGCAAAGAATGTTACTTGTGCCTAAGACATTTAAGATCTCCATTAAATGAGAGTCATACACATATATTGAGTAAAAGCAACTAAAGACATTTAAGTTTGCAGTTTCTTAATTCATTAAATTTTCTCTAATGAAAAAGGTTTTTTTTGTTTGTTTTGGGTTTTTGTTTTCTAATTCCTTACTCTGCTATACCTGACCTCTTCTCTTACCAATTAAGGACTATCACCCAAGATTTTTTTTTTTTCCTAAATGTCCCTTGTCTCCGCTTGCTCCTACTCTATTTTATGATGAACCTTATTAAAATGTGTCTGTATTAACTCATCCTTACTGGAATTCTTACACATTAAAGGTAAGTGGCTCAGTCCAAAATCCATCATAAAAAGAGATCTATGTGAACTTTTTGGGCTGCTTAAAAGAATTTAGAATTCTTAGGAGACCTCTCCTGTGAGTAAACACCAATTCCATTCCCTCATAAAAGGAATTTGCATGATAGGTGCATACATTCTAAAGTAAATGCAGTTGCATTTATAATTCTTAGTAGTGACTTTGCTTAAATTCTCCCAAGATAGCTTTCAAAGCAAACATAGAAGGTATCTGCTTAATGTAAATCTGACTTTTTAATCTTGGTGTTGCTATTGTTATAGCATGAGGCTGTTTTGGTCTTTCTTTAGCTGTATGCACCTCTTGGCTTTCAAGGCACAAGTACTCACAGGTTCTGTTCTATGCTCACTTTTTATTTATTTATTTATTTAAAAAATTTTTTTAATGTTTTATTATTTATTTTTGAGACAGAGAGAGACAGAGCATAGTGGGGAGGTCAGAGAGAGGAGACACAGGAATCTGAACAGCCTCCGGCTCCGAATGGGCTGTCAGCCGGAGCCCCCCACGCAGGCTCAACTCACGGACAGAGATCATGACCTGAGCCAAAGTCGGACGCTCAACCAACTGAGCCACCCAGGCGCCCCATCACTTTTTAAATTTAAGTCAGAATTCACTGACTTAGGGTCTGCTGTTCTTTTTTAAAATTAATTCAGTGAAGTTTTATTTACATTTTTTTTTTTGCAATTTGGAATAAAGATGGTTTTAAGTTATAATTAAACATTTACATGTTTATGTGTTTGAATTGGCTCCTACATACAAGTTTAGGACTATAAAGATGTTAGTATCAAGTAGAAAGAAGCCAGATGAAATCTTAATTTAAGTAAATTTTATTCCTTCCTCTTTTGGCTATGAACTCTTTTTTTTTTTTTTTTTTTTTTTTTTTTAGTTTTCCACCCTTATTTATCTTTCTCTTCTTCATTTATTATGAAGACTTGAAAGTACTACTTTTTTAAATTAAAAATTATTTTTTTACCAAAATCCTCAAATTTTCATCCCACACATAATCTTTTCCTTACTCCTGTGATATTAGTAGCTCTAGGGGAGGAGTGCTCAATGGCAATGAGTAGAAGTCACAGATTTTTTTTTTTAATTTTTTTTAACAATTTTTTTTTTTCAACGTTTATTTATTTTTGGGACAGAGAGAGACAGAGCATGAACCAGGCTGAGGGGCAGAGAGAGAGGGAGACACAGGAATGCGGAAACAGGGCTCCAGGCTCTGAGCCATCAGCCCAGAAGACCGAGCGGGGCTCAAACTCCATGACACGAATGAGGTCGTGACCCAGCCTGAAAAGCTGAAGTCAGGACAGCAACCGACTGCGCCACCCAGGGGCCCCGAAGTCACAGATTTTTTAAATACAGGAATTTTAAAGAACTTAATCCCTAGACTAGTTGATATATCATACTGGTTACTGTGATGTATGGTAAGTTGGAGATGGGGAAACCATACTTGGGTTAACACAGACTTGAAACCAAATACCATGACTGTATAAGGATGTACACAGAGACATTTGTATAACCACTAAAACCACCTTAGTAGAGCAATATTTAGTGCATTAATGAATTACACTCTAGACATACTCTTCATGTAAGGTCAGTGTGCTCAACATTCAACCTGTGTATAGAGTGAGCTACTTAATTATGGGGTATAGCTTACCTGAGACTTTAGGAGTAAAAAAGAAAAAGCTAACTCTCACAGCAGCTAGGGCAACTACCCTCTACCCACCATTACTACTACCAATAATATGCTAGCAGGCTTGAATCACTTAATAACAGACATTGAAGTAGAATTTAATTGATTATATAATCTAGCTGTTCAATTTTAATTCAGTTTAGATAATTTTATCAAACTAATGTTTGATGACTTAAAAGAGGAAAATCAGTATGCATATAATCTAAAATAAAAACACTTTTAATTATGCTTGAGTCCCAATCAGTCTTTGTGGACCAGTGTGAACTCTTCATTGTGATCAGCAGTGTGGCCACAGATACAAGCTTTTATGCCCCAGTTGCATGTGTCATTATAAGAAAACATTAATAAAGCCTAGGTCCCCAAAGTAAAATTAGTAGGAAATACAAAGGTATTTTAACTTCATTAGTTACTAATGGCCTTCAGAGGGGCCTATCATTTTATTTAAAAATGATTAACCAGATGTATCTGGGATTTGCTTTGAAATACTCCAGACCAAAAACAGAAAAAAAAAAAAAAGTTTGGGAATGAGTGGGCAGGGAAAATAGATGACACAAAATTCTTTGTACTTCTATGTTTGCTAGAAAATTTCCATAAGTTTTAAAAAAATAATTAGGTAGGGTCTCCTGGGTGGCTCAGTCAGTTGAGCGTCCAACTTTGGCTCAGGTCATTGTCTCGTGGCTTGTGGGTTTGAGCCCTGCGTTGGGCTCTTGCTGACAGCTCAGAGCCTGGAGCCTGCTTCAGATTCTGTGTCTCCCTCTCCCTCTGCTTCTCCCCTGATTGTTCTCTGTCTCTGTCTCTCTGTCTCTCTCAAAAATAAATGAACATTAAAAAAAATTTAAAAATAAGTAAAACAAAAGGTGTGACTAAACTCAGTTAATTTCATCATAAATTTTCCTGCTATGTATCTTGATGTGTGTTTACTGAAAGCACATATTTTGCTATCTTTGAATATTTTGTAGCCTAAAAGTTTGCTCTTCAAATCTTGAATACACACATACACACACACACACACACACACACACACACACACACACACACACACACACAATCTAATTCTAGTATCCTGAAGCATTGGGAAATCTTGTTAATTGTCAAATGAGAGGTAACATTTTGAATGGGAAGATCTTCTGCCATTTGATAATGCCAAAATCAAGAGGGCCTTTGGTATAAAAAATAAAAGCCAGGTTAAAGTACAAGACTTATCAGTAGAAATGTTCTCCCCTAGAGCTAGGTTGTATGCATATGTGTGTTTAGCTTTATTTTCCACATCTAATTATATAATGACCAGAAAATAAAATGCTGAGAGGAACAAATTCTTGATATATCAACTTTTCACTGTGAAAGCAAAGAAGTTTTGATGGGAATTATGAGGAAACATTGAAAAAAATAAGAAAATATGGAAAGAAAAAAGTAAGGGTCTTTGTTATCTATTTCATGTTCTTACCCTCAGCAGCAACTACTCTCGCCTTAGATTTTTTTTACAAAAGGCTAGTCCCAAAGCTTGCTAATTGCATTGGCATTGAAAATTAAGTTGTAGTTAGAACGTAAAGCCATACTTTATTGAATTCTAGATTCAGGAATGGCTCAGTTGTTTATGATACAGTTTGTCACGAAATGATAGCCATCATTCATCGTTAATACACTCAGCTTTGTGCTTCTCCCACACTGTGCATACACGGCCTGTGCCTCTTCTTCTGACACTAAACTGTCAACTGAAAACACACATTCAAATATATGATAACATATGAAATTCATTCACATCCAGGCATGAAGATCTGAGGAAGCAATACCTCCTCTTTTTCTTACTTCTCTTTTAAGAAAGTAGGCATAGTTAGGTTTCTTCCAAACACTTTTATTTATTATAAAGGGTGAACCCTGAGACCCTTGAAATCTTATTTTTAAAATGTGTACAGAGGGGCACCTGGGTAACTCAGTCGGTTAAGCGTATGACGCTTGATTTCAGCTCAGGTCGTGATCTCACAGTTTTTTGGATTGAGCTCCATGTTGGGCTTTGCGCTGTGTGAAGCCTGCTTGGGATTCTCTCTCCCTCTTTCTCTGCTTCTCTCCCCCACTTTCTCTCTCTCTTTCTCTCAAAAGTAAATAAACTTTAAAAAATAAAATGTGTACAGAACATAATGCTCTACATGAGCCAGATGAACAAAAGGTTATTACGTGAGTTTCTCAGCCTCAGCACTGTTGACATTCTATAACTGATTCTTCACTGTTTGTCAATTATATCCTAATGGTGGCCTGTCAAAGAACAAAAACACAGAGAATGCATCTTGCTGAAACCTTTTGAAAATATTAACCCATCTTTCTCTTAATTTAGGTCCTAGAACTAAAGATTTATTGTTACTCTTTCCAGTAGTTCTGACAGGTTTATACAATCAGGTCTTCACCTAAATGGGCCTTTGCTTAGATCCTGGAAAAAAACGGTAGAGAATAAGTTGGAAATATTGACATACATTCCCCCACTACTGTAACATTCCTGTAAGGCATTTGCATTGATCTATAGGCCTTGTGTTATTCTGATGTATTGTTACCTTCATTGTAAATCTAGTGAGCTGATTTATATGTGATTTTTTTTTTTTTTTGAAGGGTTCTACTTAATGTCTGGTACTTAAACTAAAACATAGGGTCATACTATTTATGTTAAACTATACTGAAGTCTTGGATATTTTAACAGGAATTGAAATTGAATTAGCAATGAATTGAATTAGAGTAAAATTCAAAAAGAAAACATTTGATCCGTTCTTTGGAAACTTTTGGTTAATATGTTAACTTTTAAACATGGCTGGCAGGTCTCAGTGTTCAGAGGAAGTCTACCTCGTTATCTGCTGCTATGAGCTGCAGTTATTCAGGACATTTGGTAGACATAAATATTGTAGCACAAATTCTTTCAGTGGTTATTTTTTAAGATCCTTTCCAATGTAACATTTTATATTTCATATTTTATATTTCATCACATAGTCAAAATGGTAAAGGTTGCAGTTTTGTAGACTTAAGTTTTAAAACCAAAATATATAGTAATATAGGTTCCATTTAAAGCTACTTTCTTTTGATAGGTTAGAAAGTAGTTAGCTGAATGAAGGTATAAATTCATTGTAGTTGTGATGCTCGATAGAATTGCACTGACCGTGTTTTAAATATTAGAAGAATGCTATTTATCTATAACTAAAAACATCTGGAAGAGTGGAGAAAATCAAGAAGCTGAACTTTCTCCCTGTCTGCATCTCCACTCTTCCTCTTAAATGATTTAGTTGGTTGGATACCATGGAGGAGGGAAACTCCGTGGGTTCTATGTATTTCAAATAATTCTGAATATAACATATCTTCAAGGGTTGATGAGATTTTTCAGAGTGTTTTCCCATGAAGAAGGACCTCCCTATCAATTCAGCATAGAGATATAAGGGTAACTTGAGAATGAAGAGCGTTGGTAATTAATATGCCCGCAGTATATTCTTCCAATACGGGATTATTAAAAATGAATCTTGAAATTCTCTAATATTTCTTTTCTCTTTCTGTTAAGTTGCTATAGCCCAAGGTGGAACAATCCAGATTTCTAACCCAGGATCTGATGGTGTTCAGGGACTACAGGCATTAACAATGACAAATTCAGGAGCTCCTCCTCCAGGTGCTACAATTGTACAGTATGCAGCACAGTCAGCTGATGGCACACAGCAGTTCTTTGTCCCAGGCAGCCAGGTTGTTGTGCAAGGTACATTTTATTAATCTAATACATTTAGAATACACTGTATCACACCATTTAGTGGTGATTTTATAGTTTTATGAAATATACAGGAGGCAGATTTGGGGTGGGGGGAGGCACTTTAAAAGGCTTGAAGAGGGAATATTTTAGTACGTTAAACAAGCTAAATTATATGATTTTTACTTTTTCGCGGGCTTTACCGGCTCTAAAGAAAGGTTCCAATCAGGGTAGCATGATGGGGAAAAAGGACTTGGACACATGAGAGAATTTTTTAATTAATTAAATATCCTTTCTCTGGGGGTTATAAATATTATACCTAATACATATTTTTATTACCTGGTCTATGAAGATTTAAGTATCCAGTGCATGGTGCACTGAATTGGGGGTTTTCCCCAGATGTTACACTCAAGTCTAAGTTCTAGACATCTCATTTCAAAACAAATGCTGATATTTGTTTCTCTAGACCATTCCAGGTATCCACTCTATTTCATATGGAAGTAGTGAAATAAAATAGTTGGGATGTAGCCCTAAGCTTTCAGGGTAACCTAAGATTTCAGTTAAATTCAAGTTATACATTGTTTTAATATCATTCATTTGTGCTCATAATAACTATAATGTGTTTAATACAACTTGCAAAAATCCTATATTTTAATTTAATAACTCTATTCCTCTTGGCATTTGCTTAGATGTTTGATGTAGCACTAATTTTAAGGGGGATAATATTCATTCTTTTGGTTTGAAAGTCTTGCAAGTATGGAAAAAAAGCAGATTCTGACTGACGAGTCTCTTGATAATTAGCTTTACCCTTAGGTGTTTTGGAGGTTAATGTGGACTATAATAAAAGTATATGAAGAACTGAAGGAGTTCATATATGGAGTAAAAAAATCCATAGTACTTCCCTAGTATTTTGTTTTCTTTACTTTGTAAAATCAAAATCATCTGTTTTATTTCCCCTGATTCCCATGAACCCTCTATGTCTAAATAAATAATCATAAAAAGTCATCATTTCTTCTAATTTATCTTTTTTTATGTGGAAAATCTACTGTAAACCTGATATTTTAACATAAGGAGAGCTTTAAAAATGTTTTCTGTTTTGCATAGATCATACAATAATGAGTTTTGTGCTTTTGGGGTTTTATTGAAGGAATCTTCTCTTCTGTAAGCCAAAGACATTTTTCTATATTAGTTATATTAGCTTTATAGCTTTACCTTTCACATTTATGTCCTTAGTCCACCCCAGGTCCACTTCTGTGTATGGTATTAGGTGGGAATTCACTGTCATTTTTCTCCACATATGGAGCCAGTTTTCTCCTACTAATGGTTTATCCTTTCCCCATTAACTTGTGGGGCAATGTTAATTATATAGTAAGTTCTCATGTATTCTCAGATCTGTTTCGGAACTGTCTATTTTGTACTATTGGTCTCCTTTTCTGTATGCCAGTACCATACTGATTTGTTCTCAGAACAAGTTTCCCTTTTTTATCTTAAAAAAAAAATTCTATTAGTGCTGATTTAGCTTGTATGACCCATTATTCTTCCATATGCATTTAGAACAAATTTGAGTTTCTAAATAATGTTACAATAATAAAACCAGCAATGAGGTTGCATTTAACTTATAGATTAATTTAGGGGAAACTGAAGTCTTTTTTTTAATTCAAATATAATTGACATATATCATTAGTTTCAACTGTACTGGTTTGACATTTGTTTAAAACACAGTAAGTGATTACAGTAAGTCTAGTTAACATCCATCACCACAGTTACAAATTGCTTTTTTCTTGTGATGAGAACTGTTAAGATTTAGTCTCTTAGCAATTTTCAAATAGGCGACATAGTATTATTAACCGTAGTCACCATGCTGTACATTATATCCCCAGGACTTTTTTGTACCTTTTGATCCCCTTCACCCATTTTACACCCTTCCTGCCAGCACCTCCCTCCCCATCTCTGGCAGTCACCAGTCTGTTCTCTGTATCTGAGTTCTGGGTTTTTTTTGTTGTTGTTGTTGTTGAAGATTCCACTTGCAAGTACCATCATACGGTGTCTTTCCTTTGTCCGACTTCACCTAGCTTATTGCCTTCAAGTTCCACCCATGTTGTCACAGATAGCAAGATTTCCTTCTCTTATGTATAATAATAATCCAGTGTGTGTGTGTGTGTGTGTGTGTGTGTGTGTGTGTGTGTGTGTGTACACACTACATTTTCTTTATCCACTCACCTATCAATGGACACTTAGGTTGCTTTCATATCTTGGCTATTGTAAATAATGCTGCAATGAACATGGGAGTGAATATATCTTTTCCAGTTAGTGTTTTTGTTTTCTTTGGGTAAATACCCAGTAGTACAATTGCTGAATCATAGGGTAGTTCTTTTTTTAACTTATTGAGGAACTTCCATACTGTTTTTTATAGTGCTGCACTGATTTACATTCCTACCAACAGCGTACAAGGGTGAGGGAGAACTGAGGTCTTCATAATGTTAAACTGACCTATTCCAAAGCACAGAATGTCTCATTTATGTAGATCTTATTTTAACTTTTTTTAACAGTTGAAAATTTTCTGAATGGAAGTCTTCCATATTCTTTGTTAAGTTAGTTCCTAAATGCTTTATGGTTTTTGTTGCTAGTATGAATGATACATTCTTCAGTAGTTGCTGGTGTAGGTAAATATCACTAACTTTTTAAAAAGTTTTTTTTTATTTATTAATCTTGCCAAACTGAAAATTACTTCTGGTAACGTGCATATTCTTTGTGAATCTACCTCTGATAGTATGTGAATGTTTATATCAAATACTAGTAAGATGTTTGTTTCTTCCCTTTCAGGCTTTATTCCTTTTGTTTTCTTTTTTGTCTTTTCCTTTTTTGCCCTTTCCTTTCCTTTTTCTCCCTTCTCTTTAAAATACTGGTGGGTTGGGGCGCCTGGGTGGCTCAGTCGGTTGAGCGTCCAACTTCAGCCAGGTCACGATCTCGCGGTCCGTGAGTTCGAGCCCCACGTCAGGCTCTGGGCTGATGGCTCAGAGCCTGGAGCCTGCTTCCGATTCTGTGTCTCCTTCTCTCTCTGCCCCTCCCCCATTCATGCTCGGTCTCTCTCTGTCTCAAAAATAAATAAAAATGTTTAAAAAAAATTTTAAAAAAATAAAAATAAAAATAAAAATAAAATACTGGTGGGTAGGAGTTCCACTTCTATGTTCAATACAGGGTCAGTGGGCATTCTCATGTTCCTCTCTATCACCTTACATCCTGTCATTCCTTTGGAAGGTCACAGCAATTTGTGAGTTCTCAGACCTTTTCTAGATTGATCCCTCAGCAGTGTTTAACACGGTTGACTTCTGCTTCCTTCACTTTCCTGATACTGCATTCTTACCATTTTTTTCTTCTCTTTCTTCTACATCTCTTTCAGTCTCCTTGGTTGGTCCAGTCTTCTGCTGCTCATCTCTTCAGTGTTAGTGGTGTTAGTCAAGATTGAATCCTGGGCCCTCTTTCATCTGACTTGAGCACTCTGCCTGACCATGGCTTCAGTTCAATGTGACCATGCCCCTGACTCCAGCTGGCTACTTAGAGGTTCCACACACATCTCTTGACTTTTTAAGACCAAAACCACATCCATTTTCCCCACCCCAGTTCTCTTTTGGTTTACCCTATTTCAGCAATGAACTACTGCCCAGCCTGTTGCTTCAGGCTAGAAACCCGTGTGTCATCCCTTCTTCCTCCCAGCCAAACCACACATCTCTCCACCCCTCTCCACTCTGTCCTCATTCTACTTCCGGCTACCGTCCCCTCTGACCTGTCATTCCCTCTGCCAGGTGGCTGCCCTGAAGCTGGTAGTTGTGGAGTAGCTTCCTGATTTTCCTAATCATGCTAGAGGTGGCAGATCCCTTGTTGGCCCAGTTTTTTTGAGAATCGTTCCTGAAAGTTCAGGCTCCCTTTCTTCATCCCTCTCAGTAATTCTGGGAGCTACTAATAATCCTTAAAAACAAAAGTCTCTGCCTTCAACCTTTTCTTTTTTCCATTTTACTCTCACTTCTGCAGTTCAGAGTGGTATTTCTAAAATTCAAATCTAATCATGTCAGTCTCCTGTTCAGAATTCTTCAGTGATTGCCTGTTTCTTGTTAGACAAAGTCCAAAATCTTTAACACCCAAATTGCTGCTTGATCTAGGCCTTGCTTCCTTTACTAGACTTCTCCCTCTTTTGTAATGCAGCTGTGTGCTGGTTTTCTTTAATTTTCCGTGCTGTGCCATGCTCTCTCACTTTTCCAGGGCTTCACACTTAGCCATTGCCCTGACAGTAACACTTATGCCCATCATTTGCAGTCTTTGGGCTTCATCTTAGATAGTATGTCCTCCAGGAAGCCTTGCCCGATCCTGCAGATCTGGTTCAGGTAACGTGCGGTCAGTTCCTACTGTACCTTCTTAGACTACGTGAGACATGCTTAGACAGTAACTTCTGTTTCGATAGGGATCCTTAGTACCTAGCACAGTCCCTGGCATATGATAAATGTTTAATAACTATTTATTAAATGAACGTGAAATTCTCTTCTTCTGTGAAAATGTTATTAGTTCTATGTGCTGGTTAACTGAGTTTATCTGGTCCATGGAATGTATTAAAACTTCACTAACAGCAGTAATCAACCAAACAGCGAACTTCCTTCTTTCCTTTCTTTCCTTCACCTTTTTTTATACTAATATTTATTGAACACCTAAGTGCCAATTTAAAGAAATTAGATTAAAGTAAATTTGAAATTTCTGAAATTGGTAATAAAATTGACCAGTACCCTTGAACCCAAACCCTTAGATAGGGCTGGAATGGAAAAGAGTCTGTCATGGAGCCTCTGATTGGGATCAATGTCCGGGTTGATCTCTAGACTTTCTTACTTAACTACATGTCTTCAGTTCATGTGCTTTGGAGAATTAGTAGAATCTTAAATACTCCCAGAAATTCCACCTCCATCTGAGTATAAAGTCCTGCCTTTATTAAAAAGTGCTTAGTTGAATAAGGCAAAAATGTGGTGGAA